AAAGGTGGTCATGAGATCATTGGCCAAAAACCGGCTGGTAGAATCTTAGGATATTATCCTTGTAAAATATGTCAGTTTCTTTCTGATCAAAAGCCAAGAAAGTTGTTACTATCAATGGTGAATATAAGGACTTTACAAATTTTTGTTTGTGGTTGGAAAGTTCCCCTGCCCCTTTAAAATTTAATGTCAACTGATATACATATAATATTTAAATCGCTTGTAAAGCAATATCATGTCCAAGATAAGAATTAAAATATCCGTACCTGGCTTTGTTCCAAGAGTCGCCTTTAGGACATTTGCGCTCCACCATAACCAAAATGACCTCCAAATTATATGCCCTTTTGAAGCCAAAGACCAGCTCCTTGTTCTTGGAACCCTGGAATAAAAGATTCTGGTTTTTAAAGGTTGGGAACGTTAGGTGCAATCTAAGGAATATAGAGGAATATAGCCATGGCCTTATCTGAAAGTTTTAAGCACAAGTATATTTTGGATAATGCTCATGTACAATCATTTTCCAAAGCTTACTCTTGGATAGAAATATGTAGGTACTGACCGTGCTGTGTTGATCATCTAACTGTAAGTGGTGTATGTCAAACCCAATAGTCAAAACCGCTATCGAGTTCCCGCTGACGGCTAAAAAACAAAAGACAAACATTGTATTCAGTCAAAATACCATATAATTTTGCCTCTGAGGACACATTTTTGTTTCATTTCTGGTTTATTGGGATGGCTATTGAGCCATGGCATACAGAATGTCACTGGGGTTTTGCAAATTGACATATATTTCATAAAATTCACACAGCTAATAATGTAATTATGGAAATATCTCGACAACACCATTCCAATTGAAATTAGAATCAATTTAGTACCATTTGTTAGATGGAAAGCAATGACCTCAAGGTTCCAAAACTGTAACTAAATGAGCTGCAGTCTGTTTGAAAAAAAAATAGATCAACTTACTAAAAATGGGTGGAGGAATCGCCCTACATCTTCATCTGTTCCTCTTCATCTGTTCTTCATCTGTTCCTCTTCATCTGTGAATAGGAGGTCTGAAATGTCATACAGGCCATGACCTCAGAACACTCCTATTGTGGCAGTGCTATTGCGGGTAGGTAAATTACCAGACGATTTACCCTTTCTAACCTGAAAAACATAAATACGTGATCAAACAAACATATTGAAGGGATATTTACAATATTTCATTTTTTTTTTCTTGGTTTAATTTTGCCTATCATTAACAAATTTAAAGCAAAACAGAAATGCATGAAATACCACAAAATAGAGACAAAAATTTTGCATCATCATTCTCGATTGACTGTTTTCTCATTTAAACCCCATTTATTTGTTTACAAAAATATCATGATTCACAAAACTGTATAAGATAAAGCATTGCAAAACTATATTTCTAGCAGACAAATTAAGAATATCAACATTTCTCCAGATACCAGATAAATCTTTTTTAAAAACACTTGCCTTGCGAACTTCTGTGCCACGCCATAAGCACTTGACTTCTGTATAATGAAGCTCTATCTGTTTACACCTAAAATTAAAAATAAACATATTATCTAAGAAAATTATTAAAGAAGCACAAAAATCAAAACATTTAATGGGTTCTTCAGCAGTCTGTTAGAGTGTTGAAAACTTTACATGAGATATGGTTGGTAACGTCCAAAAAAGTTGGTCATGAGATCATTGGCCAAAAACCGGCTGGTAGAATCTTAGGATATTATCCTTGTAAAATATGTCAGTTTCTTTCTGATCAAAGGCCAAGAAGCTTGTTACTATCAATGGTGAATATAAGGACTTTACAAATTTTTGTTTGTGGTTGCAAAGTTCCAACCCCCTGCCCCTTTAAAATTTAATGTCAACTGATATAAATATAATATTTAAATCGCTTTAAAGCAATATCATGTCCAAGATAAGAATTAAAATATCCGTACCTGGCTTTGTTCCAAGAGTCGCCTTTAGGACATTTGCGCTCCACCATAACCAAAATGACCTCCAAATTATATGCCCTTTTGAAGCTAAAGACCAGCTCCATGTTCTTGGAACCCTGGAATAAAAGATTCTGGTTTTTAAAGGTTGGGAACGTTAGGTGCAATCTAAGGAATATAGAGGAATATATCCATGGCCTTATCTGAAAGTTTTAAGCACAAGTATATTTTAGATAATGCTCATGTACAATCATTTTTCAAAGCTTACTCTTGGATAAAATATGTAGGTACTGACCGTGCTGTGTTGATCATCTAACTGCGTGTGGTGTATGTCAAACCCAATAGTAAAAACCGCTATCGAGTTCCCGCTGACGGCTAAAAAACAAAAGACAAACA